ATAGCTAATACAACTTTCTTTGTTTTCATTTTTCGATCTACACGTCCAGTTTTTGACTTTTGTTTCTTTGTTCATCTTTTTTTTATATAATAACTTTTTTTTTAGCCAACAAAAATTTTATATACGATGTTTTTTTTTCAAAAATCTCTTTCATTTTTATCCAATATAAAAATCATGTTTAGATTAGCATTAACTTACCTTTATACTTCTGATTGTTAACATAGAAAATGATAGCTTCACACAAATGGATGTTGTGACCAACGATCCAAGGTTTTGTACACATATTTCTACACACCAAACTTTTTTTAAGTGTGAGATCTAACTTAGCAGCAAACAAGAGAGAATGAGAGAAGCTAGAGAACCTTTTTTCTTAGAAGAAATGGAAAAGGTTTAATATATATTGAAAAGAATCGTGTGTATCTTTGTAGATTTAGTGAGATAACTGCTTTAAACCTGTCACATAACTGATTTACAATTTTCAAAAAATTACATTTAAAAAAAAAACGAAAAATGACACAAAACCTTTATTTGTTTCCATTTAATTGACAAATATATTTTATAATTACCGATTTTCATCGTGTATAATTAATTTAAACTAATGACACCTATATTTGGGGATCCCACGTTGATTTAGTTCAAAAATTTAGTTTCAGAATCTAATTTAATCCAAAGATATAGGTAATATATAATAGGAAACATACATTTATTTACCCTAAATTTTAGAGATTTAGATATCTTTGTTATTGAATTTATTCCTTTTTCAAAAACATTATAGGAAAGATTTAAGGTAATTTTTCTTAAATATCTAGTATATTTCTAAATTGTGTTTCCTAATTTTTTGCTTTCTATTGTATCAAATATTTAGGTTAAAATTTCCTTGTTAGTTGAGATAATGGAATTGCATGTATATTATATATACAGTATATATAAGAAGAAGAATAATGGTCGAGTGATACTTACAATAAAAATCAAAGATTATATATACAGTAAGACTATTTATTAAGCCAACTTACAATTTTTTTACGATTCTTTATGAGTAGAAACTGTAGTGATCTTATATACTTAGTGCTAAAATCATTTATTGGAGTATTCAACGGAAATACAATTTTATCTCGTCCATTATTACATCATCCTCTATATATTAATTGAAAGACACACTCACAAAAAATTTTAGGTATCAAACAAAGAGGAAATTAAGGACACATCAATTAAATTTAACCAATCAAAATACTCCGATTAATTTTATATGTCATGTTAGAAATTTCTATATATTTACATTAATTTTTAACATGAACACACAAATACATGTGTTACCAATTTA